CTATCTTCGTCAGTGACATTTTGTTATGTGCAGATGATTGTTCATGTAATCCAAATAATGGTTCAGATCATGGACGCTCAACAAAGCTATGCTGTGAAAGAATCAATGGAAGGGGCGTTCGACGGTTCGGTGAATAGCGTTTGGTAATGGAGTTAATTCGTATTACTTTTGTCTACGGTGTACGCCGCTACTCTTACGTCACTGTTTTCTGTAGGAATAATCATCGGGTGTGGGGAGTGCAACGAGCTGCGGGAGAAATGCTCCGCAGATGCGCTGTACTAGTGTTTTGCAGCTGAGCGAAAAAATGATGGAGGCTCAGAACGACAGCCATTTCGAAGTAGGTTTGCTGTCGGCTTCGCATGCGTCGATATTTAGCAGTTAATCGTAAAGATTCTAATTAGTTACAGAGCTTTCTAGGACATGCAGCGAACGCTATGTCCTACGGCGGAATTCACACAAGTGTCGTTAGCGCCGCTCTGCCGGCAGGTGAAGAATGCAATGAAGTGTGCTGCGATCGTATCTGCAGATTCGACGATCTCACCGGTGATCAAAGCAGCTTTATGAGATCTAACAGAAGCATTGAAATCGATGCTCGGTGTTTTGACAGTGTTCGACAATCACAACAAAAGCACTGATTACTACATTACCAGTGTGTCCGAATAAAGAGCTTTTTGAGCAGATAAATGTTCTTGCATTGCTAATCCAGGACTATTTTTCTACTCCCGTCTGGGAAGCAAATGGCAGCAACAGAAAGTGCGTTCCCGTTGAAAAATGAAAGCAATTTGCTTTTTTTATCGGAATAATTTGTTTCATCGTGATTTTTTAATCTTGTAAAACATTCTACATTTCACCATGTTATAAACAACACAGAAGAGCAGTGAAGCGGGAAACAAGGGTGCAGGCGGGGTGAGGGGGAGTAGGGGTACAACTGGGGATGGGGAGAGGTGATAAGCATACAGCCGGGGAGGTATGGGTGCAGTCGGCGGGAGAGAAAAGAGGGGAGACACAGCTGAGGTGAGGTAGAAGTGAGTCAGCGCGGGCTGAAAAACAGAGCGGAAGCGCTCTGGCGCGGAGGGACGGAGCAACCTCTGCAAGAAATGGGCCTCTCATGTGTAAGTGGGGCGCCTTAGCATGTACAGTTGAGGGCATGTTACTTGTAATTTGATATTTTGATGTAGTCGTGATATTCTTAGTATTTTAACTTTCTTTTGTCTTTGATCATCACACGGCAAATAAAAAAGGAATTTACATGATAATTAGCCAACGCACGGGCTGACCATGCGAAGACGTGTTTTTTGCTTAGTTCCCCGCAGTTTTTGTCGCTACCGGCACCGGTTTTTTCGGCAAATGCTTCTAGCTAAACAAA